ATTACCATATTCATAATATTTTCTAAATATAATTGCATGAAAGTTAGGCTAGATCACAATAACTACGATCCATTGGATGTAGTCAATAAAATATAATTGAAATATAATTGTATGAAAATTATGTTAAATAACAATAGCTATGATTCATTGGATTTTGTCAATGAAATGCTAACACACAATCGTAACTACCTATCATGTTTGTACTTGCATAGAATCGATTATGATTTATTTTTATATTATATGGTAAATTTTGTCTTTTTAATTATGTTATTCAGACTTGCTGATACGTAGTTATATTATTTTAAAGATTATGTTACATTTAGCAAAATGCATTAGCTTAGAGAGTTAAAAGAAATTATGAAATATTTTGAGATAATTATTAATTATAATAAGAATTTTAATGAATAGTTTTTAATTTTAAACGATATTACAGTCATTTTTGCAAACTATTTAAAGAAGGCACCTATAAAATATTATTAAAAAGTAGATAAAGTCTTTAATGGTTAATTCAATAACAGTTATAATTTAAAATAAGTTTTTGTACATTTTTTTATTTATATTACAAAATGTTGTATGATTCTTTATAGATTTATCAATGTATATGTAAAATATAGAAACTATAGAATTAATTATAATTATAATATTGGTATTTATGTACGTATATTCCTCACACTTACAAGTTATTAATTTTGATTCTTTAATTCTGATTTTTATTAATTCAGATTCCTTTAATTATTTGTATAAATTTTTTTATGATAAAGTCATAAATAATTGAAGAAGTTAATTATTTGATAGTTGGAGATTTTTTAATGATGTGATAGTTTTGACTTGGATAAATTATATTGTCCTTTTGCGCCATTCTTACAAGAGCTTTTAACTATATCATTTTGTCAGTAAAATATGAATGTATTTGAATAGTATATTTTAATAGAATTGATTAATAATATGTAATATTATAGTATAGATTTTTTAAAAATTAGAATTTAGAAAGATGTACAGTTTACAAGTAAATTTTTAATTATTTAGAAATATTATAACAATAGTATGGCAAATAAATTTTATGAAATTATTTCCAATCTTAGTTAATTATTTAAAGCAGACTGCATAATACAAATTGTTTCTATAATATGCAGGAGTAAATAATGACTGATAATTCAATGTTTACTTAACGTTACTTAGCGTACAAAATGTTATTAATAAATAGATTAGACTAAACTTGTACTCCAAGTACTTCAACGTCCATCAACGATTGATTTAATGAAAATCTAATCAAATATATGGGATAATAAACGAAGATTGTTGCGTTTGTATATGAAGCAGCGGGTAACGATACAATGCAATCGTGTGCATATCGTTTTTCTCACGTTACATTAACGTCGAGTAAACGCTGATATTGGGCCTATTGTAGCACAACGACACCACATAACCTTACGTATAATATGATAATTCGACTTTATAAAGCAGTCGCGATTATAATTCTTCGGATGATAATGGAGCTATATACAAGAATCATTGTCATTATGCTAATCTTATTCCTTCATCTATTTTTATGTTGCTGAGAGATAAAAGGAAAAAATGGAAAAGAAAAGAACAAACAGGGAATCAATACTTTTTAAAGAGGTTTATAGCGTAATAATAATGTGAATCGTCATTCAAAATCTCATGTAAATATTATTATTTGATAATATATTAGCCATAAGTTCAGAAAATCAATTATGTGCATGAATTTACAATTCAAACGTAGTGACAGTTTGTCATCGAATTTATTCGACCGAAATATACGTGCAAGCATTTTCTGTTATAATAAATTTCATGAATTATATTAAACCATGAGGATATGCTTCATTCTGTCTATTCTCAATTATTCTGCTATCTTTATTTTTTTTTCTATTTTTATAGTTTAAAATAATTTGTTATCTCGTTTAAGTCAAATGCATCTTCTAGGCAATGGCTAGGAAAAAGAAGAATAAAAGAAATTTAAATTGTTGTTAATTACGTTTGTTAATTTATTAAAAGTATAAGCATTCGCTTTTAATAGATGTGATCATTAAGAGTGCATTTTCATTAATTTTATTCAATAACGTAGGTAAGTATCTATGTAATTGCTGCATAAATATATTTGTCGATATATCAAACAATCCATCTGTTCTATTCTCAAATTATAATATTATTATTCATTGTCCGAGTAATTTCAAACCCACACAAATACGGTATTTTTATTTAATGATTCGCAAGGTTACAAGAATTACCATTTTTTTTATTTATAAAAAATGTTTTCAAATTAAACCGAGTCGTTAGCTTGTGCTTTCAGAGTATTGTAAAGTTTTTGAGCTTTTGGAATTTAATAATGCAATTAAAAGAATAAACATACAAGAGAGTCATCGATATTGCGATATATAGGTTTTCGAAACTCCCTCAACAGAGGTTACTTCCCACCTCATTCGTATAATTATTTTATTAATATTCACGTCACTAATCGAATGTGATGCTTTCCCCGGCGTATCGTCTGCTAGCAGCACGCAGCAGAGTCTGTGATAATGTTTGATCAACCGCCAATATAGCGACGTATGCTTGAAAAAATTTGGCCCCGAAATTCAAGCACAACGTCGAAGATAAAAAGAAGGCCATGGCACAAAGAGAGCTCGGGCACCTTCTGTTTCACATAACAAATTTTTCAAGAATTTTTTTGTTCGCGGATGTGCGTGAGCATGGAGGTAGTGGGAGAAACACTCTCGAGACGAATATAAGTAAGCGTGGGGTTTAGGACAAAAGTGGATACGAGCGACAGGGCGGCACAGCTGGCATTTCCCCGATTGAACACATACACATGAGTCGCGATTCACGTATCGCTCCCCCTCCTCCCCTCCTTGCCCCCTCCCCAACTCGTCAGATATGTTTCTAACGAATAAGACAAGAGACGATTTTACGGCTCTGCATCATGCGAGTCCCCGGCCTTTATTATTGCGACGCTTGGTGGGTGAGGGGTTCTCGTTCGTGACCCTTCTTTATTACTCCAAATTTAACATCGTTTCTCCAATATTTACAACCAATATTTCTTAGATTACTACTAAACGTGAGATTTTAATAGAGGGATGTCACACACGAAATTTTGTTTCAATTACAATGAAGGTGAAACTATTTTTGGTTGCTCAATGGCGATGTCAGTAAATCGAATGTTTTATTCTCATGCGTATGTTACATTTTTGACTCCTTAGTTCCTGATGCGACATTTCTCGATGGCATTACCATCTTTCACTTCAAATTATTTCAATGATAAATAAAGCAATTCAGCAATCAATTCATTTTTCCAATACCATATACGGATGTAAAAAGTGAAGCCCTCACAATTTTTACAGATACTTTCTTGTTGTATATTTTATGTAATAGCCAGTGTCAATGCTTCTATGTGTGGATTCCCAAAGTCATTTTAAATCAGATTAATGCAGATTCGAGACTAGGACATGGGTCGACAATTAATCAGTCACATGCAAGAGATATTACGGGTGTCAGAGGAAGAAGAGAAGGGGGTGGGGGAGTAAAGAGCGATGATATTATCGACCACTATCCGATGTACTTTGAAGTGAAATGTAAATTATTAATCGAGTTAATATTATTGTTAACTTCACGAAAACACTTTACTGTGGAGGATGCATGATGGTTAAATTTCGTGTGTTCAGACAGCAACGAACGAATAAAAGTAAGAGTAGATTTATGTTCCGCGCATTTTCAACAAAGAAAAGATCTTTGGAAAATTTTCGTGCTCACCCCAAATCTTTCACACTTTTATTACGGGCATCGAGTAGTCTCTTGAACTGCCTACCCAGTTATATACAATCCTTTGAGGACATTATTTTTTAATGCACAGCACAGAAAGAAAGACGAATTTTTCGATTCCTCTTTGCAAAAAGGCGAAAAACAGCAATGGGAGCGAATAATATAGAGAGAAAAGAAGAGAGGGAAAAAGACAAGAGAGCACAGTGTCGAATGAGAACGTACATGAGACGGGCAAGAAAACTGATGCACAACACAAAGAGCCAGAGATCCAATAAAATAACTATGACGGTGGAGGGGGGCAGATGGGAGAGGTACCGAAGAGTAGTGTTTCTCTTATCGACTTGGCCGTTAATATGGAGAGGTCGTTGTGGTCGTCGCCGTCGTCGACCTCGACATTGTCGTCATCGTCGCCACCGCCGCCGCCGCTATTGCTGCTGTTACTACTACTCTAAACCCCCATTCGCGTGTAATCGAAACGCACGCAGCTGCACGACTGTGTACAGAGAGAGAGTCATTACCTCTGCGTGCATGCTACTCTGCGCAGCAAAAAATTCTCGGCGACGCATATAAGACGGACGCTAGGTTGACGGGTCGAGCGTATCCGTGGAGATCTCGGCTTAGCAGCCGATGCTTCTCTCTTTCTTTCGCTTGAAAGAGCAGGCGCACGCACACGTTCGTAGCTACGAGGCTTTTTCCCCGATTCGTGCGACCGATGATGATGGCACGGTGCGCACCGAACCTTGTCCATTTCCCCTCCGCGCGGCTTTTCACCCCACCCGAAGAAATGCGCTCCGGCCGGCGGAGGGGCAAATGGTTGGGTGCGCCGCCGCTGAGCTCCTATTGGTCAATACCTCTCGTTCCTACTCCTCCGCTCCGACCTGGAACAAAGAGACGAGCTCAGCGGCGGTGGCAGCAGCAGCGGCGGCGACGAGGCTACGACGTTGCTAAATGGTCGGAGCGCCGTAACTTTACGGAGAGCCGGTTGCCATTAGAAAGTCCTCGGTCGTCAATGGGTGCGGTTGTTTCGCGAGGTGTGCAAGTCGTCGGAGTGCGCGTCTTGAGACGTAGCAGTGTCTTTGTTGTGCGCGTAGTCGCTTAAAGAGTTGATTGAAAGAATCGATAGTTTTCACGCATCGCTCGCTGAAAACATTGAACCGCAGAAACGGATGTTCGGTGCTGGCCGACTTTGGCTCGAACGCAATCACGGGAGCAAGGGAAAGAAAGAGAGTGAGCGATAGCCGTAGTTATCGGCGCAGCACTGCTATAGATAAATCGAGAGGTTGATGGTATAGAGGGAGCCAGTCGGTGATAATCAACGCGACGCTTGTAATCGAAGTCGCGCTGTTGGCCGATTGCAGCGTCTATCGTCCCGACTTCGGTTTAGTTGAGACATTGCGGGAATCGTGCCGTGGATACGGAGCCTTTGCAAGTGGAGTAACTAGCGGTTGCGCGAGCGCCCCGGAGACGTGGCGCCGCCATTTTGCTTGGCAACAACAGTAGTAATTTCAGCGTCGACGGGCGATTCGCACAAGCGAAAGCGCGATTGCCGTCACCTTTATCCTCGTCTTTGTCGTCGACGTCCAGCCGCGTCTTTAAGCTGGCCGTCGACGATACGACCGACACAGCACCGATATTAACAGCCAAGAACGGAGGTTCAGCACACTGGTGACGATAGTAAGGGCTGGGGTTTGGAGCGTCGTCGCCAGGGGGAGCCGCAACGTTGTCGTTAACGCGCAGCTAAAGCGATCAACGAGCGTAGCCGCTGGCCGATAGGGGCGTCATCGACTCCTGTCCCGATAATCGTTGTTCCTAGCGTAACATTTCCAGAGCCGACGATATGAGGCTAGAAATCGTGTCCGCGGCTGATTTTTTGGTGCAGTTACTGCGCCTGCAGGCCGGCCAATTATCGGAGAGCCAACTGCAGATGTTCAAGAGCTCGCTTACGGAATTGTTGAGGCGTCGCTATCGTGACCACTGGTTCCCGGATAAGCCCAATCGTGGCAGCGGTTACCGCTGCATACGTATAAACGGCAAGATGGATCCAGTGATCGCACAAGCGGGCATGAACGTTGGCCTGGTGCCGACCGTACTCCACAGTCTATTTCCCAGCGAGCTCACCATGTGGATCGACCCGGCCGAAGTATCCTACAGGATCGGCGAGAATGGCTCCATTTGCGTTCTCTTTGAGGGTACTGGTCAACAAGTTCCATCATCCAACTCGACTTCTTCCTCGCCATCTTGTTCCGAGGGACTGGACGATCACCATCAGCACCATCACCATCACCACCACCATCATCACCATCACCACCATCTTCAACAGCAACAGCAGCACCAACATGTGCAACCTCATCCTCAGCATCACCACCATCATCATCAGCAGCAGCAACAACAACAACAGCAGCAGCAACAATTTGAAAGCTGCAAGGACTCATTGTTACTTGAACATACACAATTCAGTGAGCAAATAGCTGCCTTCGTATCCAGTTGAACGGGTCGCAGGATGGCTGCTGTTGGAAGATGATGAGGCGAGTCGGAAGCGAGAAACGAGCTACTACTAAACATAAAAGGGATGATAGGGAGTGAGAGCGTGAGGAAGAGTAAGCGAATGAGAGATAAACAAATTGAGAGATGATGAGGGCGAGAAAGAGAGGGAGAGATTGAGAAGCGCAGCACCAACATCCGTCACCAGCGTTACTTTTACTTATATTTTCTTTTATTTAATTCTATGAAGTGCGGTTCTGACCATGAGTTCTCGCCATTAATCATTTATATTCTATTATATTTGTTCATCAATATAATTTTTTGCCGATTTTATTACAACAGTCACCAACGCACTAGTAAATGTTAACAGAAGAAAGAAAAAACAAGTAAAATACATTGCTGCCAACAAAGATGGCATTCAATATTTGATCATTTTTAAAAAATTTCACGATAATTGTTAACGTTAACGATACGATTTTCTGAGTGTGGCGAGAATTCTTTGAAGTGCACGAGGAAGAACAATAAGTTTAATTGTGTATACTGTAATCGCAAGAAATATGGTCACGTAAGTGGACATTGAAGGAAATGAAGAAAGCTAAAAAGAGAAAGAAGGAAAGGGATATGAAAATAAGGATGAAGAAGAATGGATCCCGATTTTCTGCCGGAGCGTCGTATGCGTCGATATACAGGGATTCAACGCCACTAAGCTCGTCCTCGGTTTTTGCTCCAAAAGGTGATTTACATGATGATCTCATAAGAAGATGACCAAGCAATCTGGTCGTTTCTGCAGTTGTTTCATGTTTCTTTGTCAAAGGAAAACTAATCAATGCTTACCGCCTTTTTGTACGGGAAGCTGAAGACAATGCTGATGAAGAGGAGAGACGACGAAATGTCGTTGGATTCGTCCATCGTTATAATGTCGACTATGACGCTGTCATCGATCCACACGTAAATGAAACGAAACACTGTACACTTCCAATTTACACATGCACACATGCTCATGCCATTCTTTCTACATGATCATTCACACGTATACATGTTTTCAAACGTTGTATTTTATCTGCGCGCTTACTGTATCATCTATACATAAGACACGTTGTCACCGAGCGTTGATGTTTGTAAGAAAAATTAGAAAAAGAAAATAAAAAAAAAACTAATTGGCGTAAGCGCCGCGCGCGACTTTCATAGTACTTTCGGGCATGCAGTTTGCTATTTAAAATGTATTTTCAATTGACATTTGCATAAGTTATGATTATCAGTAAACAATAATGATAATAGTAATAAAATATTAACGATATAAAAATAATTAACAAAAATAAAGAGAAACCGAAACCGAAAGTTGCGCGTCTTGGCCAATTAGTTGGTTTAAGTTAAAAAGTAAATTCTTTGTGTACAAAATGTATCCTTTGAAACGATGAAACGAACCAACAGACAAGAAAAAAATCAAACAGCTGTGATTTTCTTCGCGGGTGGGAGAGGTTAATATATGATTGAGATTCGTAAAGGTAATGCATTAATATTTAGGAATTGTTGTGTGTTGTGTGTTTGGGTGTGTGTACGCGCGAGCATGTATGATAAGAGAAATTGTGTAAAAATAATTGACGCGAGTTTGATTAAATATTCCGATAACTCCCCAGTGCGTTTCAAGATGAACTTCGAAAAACAGCGTCTGTCTTTGAGAAAACCAAATATCAGCTTCATTGGTCGTATTTCTTTTCGTTACTTATTTTTTAAAACAAAATTTAAAACAAACACAACAAAAGACGGCCAACGTATTTTTGAGGTACACCTTGATGTGATGGAAGGAGTCAATTAACGATTACGGCTCCCACGAGTGCGTCATCGCGAAACCAACAATATAGTATTTTGTCTCGGCCGTCGTATTGGTGGCGCATGAAAAATAATGACGCACAATCGTATGATTGTGACGGCAGTGAGTGGGGATTGGCAATAGTCGGACTCCCCCCCCCCCCTCAAGATGAGTTTTCAAATGAATTTTAAGCTATAATCACACATGGATAAACTATCATGCAAACAGAACACGCGTTTCTTGTGAAACGATCGGATTAACGGCGAAAGCATTTTCTTTTCCTTTTGCAAAATGTGATTGTTGCTGGAGGTTTGCTTGGGTTTTCTTGAAAGAGGAGCGAATGTCGAGAGAACGAGGAAAAATGAGCGAAAGAGTGAGTGACCGTGGATGCATAAATGTCGAGAAGAGCGAGCGAGTATGTGCGATTTCAGAGAGAGAGAGAGAGAGAGAGAGAACACACTGACTGATGATGAAAGATACAAATTTATCGCGCTCGACGTCGAAGAACAAAGGCTCTTGTACGTATAGTAAATAGTTTTTAAAAATAACAAACATACAAAAAATACAACAACCACGTCTGTGATTATAGTGAGCGTTATATAGAGGAGAGAATGGGACTGCGTGAATGTGAGACGGTGACGATTGAGTAGAGAAAAATTGTGGCAATTTTTTAAGCAATTCGATTGCGTTTACAACGCACGCGCCATTTTATTTCGACGCGATATGCGTGCGTCTGCATACAACAACGTTTACATTCGAGCAATTGCACCGAGCTACGTAAAAATAATTATTCCCGCGAGTCCTTATTTTGTCATCGCTCCAAGGGGAAAACCGGAAATTTTCGCAGGCGCTGTGATAGACGATTTGATAACGGTTCTCATTATTTGGAAATAATACATTGGGTTAATTAGGGTAGAGAAAAAGAACTAAGAAAAGCATCAAAAATTAAAATAGCTCGCTGTCCGTGCTGTGCGAATTATACGTGCATAAATATGTATATCTACTCTGAGTATGCAAATCGTTAATATTTCATTCGATAATATAATTTAAGATTATTCGTTATATTTAATTTTTACTTATTGTTCATTATATGCAATCCAACACTAACGTTTTATTCCTGACATAACACTATTTCATTGCTTGAAATAACATTAATAAACGGACGGCGTCTTCAATAGGTTTCATTGACTAGATAAAGGAACCTTCTTCTGTTATAGGGTTTCTCGTTTCCATTGGCACGTAACAACAAATAATCTACTAGCATAATCTTATGTAATCACTGCTGTTCTTGTGCAACACTTCATTTATTTCCTTCATTTCTAGTTTGCAATGAAGAAATATAAACATGATTAAATGCAGTAAGAAAAAAGGGAAATTTCTTCAGTACAAATTTGTATTCTATAATGTTACTCTTTTACCGAATTCCAAATTAATAGTTCCTTGATATATGTATTCAATAGATCGCTGGGACACGTGTAAATTTAAGTTTATTAATTTATAAATTTAATTTTATGATGATCCAGGACATCGCTGCACGCTAGAAGTCATAGCTTTTCGTGTTGCTTTTTTCACCAATTAAATAAATTATCAATATACTTCAGCGTAATATGTTAATGTACAATTTTTTGGTTGTTCGTTAATGTTGATCAACAAGTATAATCATTTTTGCACATCGAATTGTATTTTTTAACTAGTTTAACTTAATATCGGACCTAATAATACGAATTATACTACGTATGTCTGACGCATTATTTATTTTGGAACGAGAATACCTACTGGAATAAGGTAATTTTTTTGGTTCAGAGAAACGTAAGAGAGAAAGAGATTTTTGAATGTTGCGATTGCTCGAGTCAACAAAAGCAGTTCTCACTTGTCGTTCGTTTTTCGAAAGTGAGATAATCGAGAAAGCAAAAGCAAATAAACGCTTTATTCGGTGATTTTTCCTTTGATTTTTGTCTTGCGATTTTTCATTTATTTTACGTATATTAATGAGAGAAAACGAGCCGAAGCATCAATATGTACACATACACTATTACATACTTTAATACACGAATAATTATTATAGCAGTAATTATAACGATAAAAAATTTAATGAGTAATGAAATAATGTAAAAGGTGAGCATGTGTATTTTATGGGAAAAAATATGAATTGTAATTATGAATTGTACGATACAGCCCAAACAAGGAATACATAATATACTAACGCATACAAATATATGGAAAAAGAGTTTGAGAATTTGAAGAAGTAAAAAGCGAGATAGATGGCTCACACATTATTATGTATACTTACTTATATATGTAATAAAAATATAATGATACATTGTCGATAAATAAACTAGTAACTATACAGAGTCCTTCAGGAAGAATTTGTACAAACAAAACTCGCCGTGCGGGATCGACGTCTTCGCACGGCGCCGGCAAGTCTGTGATTTTAGCTTGGTTAATTCAGTATTTTTTAAAAATATTTTTAAAAAAAATGAAAAAAATCGAGAACAAAATCAATACAAAAAACGAACTGATAAAGCAGAAGCAAAAAAATAAATATATCGAAAAAATAGAATAAAGATAATGCATAAAAAGTGAAAGAAAATCGAGGTGAGAAATAAAATAACAAAAATAATTCTATGAACTGTCGGAAACGCGAGCGCGAGATTTTGTTGGGAATCTATGTAAGTATGTATGGCGTCGATGGGCGTGTGCATGTGTGTATTTGAAACGCGAGAGGTCCGAAATAGAAAGAATGCATTTTAATATATTAGTATTTTAATATATAGTAAGGGGGTAGATGAACTTTTGGTGATTGCCCAATTCGTGGAGAGAATCACACTTGTAAAGGGGAAGCTTGGATAACGGCTTTTTCTTTCTTCTTCGAGGAAGTGCGATCAAATGAGATGTTGGAAAGGACAGCGAATGTTGGCTCCTTACACGGATAAATTATATATTTAAATTTGATAC